AAAACTCCGTGAAAGCTTGTTTTTTTATTCCTATGTACAGTGTGAATTATATAGTGGGTCAGAAATGAGCCAGCTGAGTCACTGAAATGTGTTTCCGATCATACATTGTGTTTTCGATCTATTGAAACATGTCGCAAAGCTCTCCCCTGCCCCCTCTCCATATCATACAGTCATGGAACTGGAAGTCTGGCCCTGCCAGGGTCCGTCAGTTTGCTACCCTGTCTTCCATTCAGTTAGTGCACTTGCTCATTTTCGAGTTGTCTAACTGGTCGCATTTTGCTCTCGTGCTGCATCTCATAATCAGCTATGCTTCCTTGTGGCTCGCTTGTCATTTTCGTGCCTCATGTTCACCTTCTGACCCCTTCATGCAGTTCTGTATTTCCAGGCTGTCAGTAAAGTCTTCTTCACCCACTCTGGACTGTTCCGGCTCTGATTTGTATGCTCCTGGATCATGGCAACTTGCTGTCCAATTGTGCAATAGGCGGACACATTGTCTGGCATTTTCCGATCACAAAATATCTCAGTGCGTATCACTGGGTATGATGTTGTCCCACCCATGGTAGATATTGCAGTCAATCTATACATGCAGTTTTGCTAAACACTATGCATGTTGTTATACATTTCGCATCTCTTCAGTCAGACTTCATCACTGCAGGCCTCCTGTTGCCACAAACCAGGAGGCCCATATGGACAATGCCATGCCTGATGAGCACATCCGTATAGACATGAGGCATTTCTCAATATTTTTTTCATTTGTGCAATGGACGCATAATCTACTTTCACGAATATGATTTTGTTAATTGTACAGTTCACACAGTACATTTCTGGGCCATCTGATGACCCATTGTAGTGACTATCATGAGCACACCCAGGATGCTTGAACAAAAGGAGGACAGCCTCATTCAGTCAACGTTCACGACCAAGTCATGGCAGCTATGCATAATCTTCGACAATGCAAGAGTTTGTGCTATTATGAACACAGGAACTGCTGATGATAAGATGTTAGGTAGGAAGAAATGCAACCATATTTTGGACAGCCACTTGTATTGCATTCTGATGGTAACAGGTGAAAAGCGAGGCAAATTGGATAGTAGAATTTGATGTGACATTTGCTATTTTCATAGGCTAAAAAGTATGAGACTGCGAAGGTTTGACAGAAGATGATAGGCTTGAATCTCTGGATCAAAAATTGAAAGCTATAGCGAGTACTGAGACGAAGCCATTTTTGAATGGGTTGGGCTGCTCAATCATTTACAGTTCTCCTCGCTCGTCATGCAGACATCAAGGTCATCAGTGGGCTCAATATTCTTACCAACAGTCAGGTAATTCTGCCATTGCTTGTGTCATTGGGTATCAATGCTGATCTACATGGTCCTAAGGTGATCTTGCTTTCATCAATTGTGGTTGCACTTGTCCTCAGTGCAATCGCTTGAGCACTCCATCTTGTGCATACTATGGGCAGTGTCATGGGCACTGCAATGCAATACAGATAAAGGTTAGAGTTTAGAATGACTCCTCAAGGGTTTCAGTTGCTTCACTGCCTCAAGTCCTGAGTTCCGACTGCATGTCCATCTGTATGCATGCTCTATCAGCCACTAGCTAATTGTGAACTCTTTTGATATGAGCTAATTCTTAGACATCTTGGGGGCCTCCTTCTCAGATCTTTCTATGAACCTGAGAGTTTTTATGCAACAACAGCAAATCAGTGATCTTTTCTCCATGGATCATGGGCGTTCAGTGCAACCCTAACCTGCTTACAATATAATGCAGACCATCTTGTCCCCCTTGTACCTTGTTTAGTCTAAAGTTTGCTGCCTTGTCTGCCTCGTGCTATGAATGACTGATTGAGCATCTGCTGATGCAATGCACCATGATCTCATGCTGGCCGCTGAGAGCTTGCTGGCAGCCAGATAACATGGTAGCCATGTATACCCATTTGTCAATAAGTTCTGCTGCATCGTTGCCATGTGTGTTGGACACAAGCCAGTTGTGGGCCCCTTGTGGGACCTCTTGCAGTGGGATTTGTCCCTGGTGACTAGATGACTGCATACACTGCATCAATCAATTATGTGAAGTGCAGATCACAGCCAAGCAAGCTCTCCCTCCTGTGCACTCTTGGTTCACCTCTGTGTGCATTACGTCCGACATTGTTTTGCTAAAGAGTGGGTGTTCAGCTGTGGTACCCTCGTATCATGAAGGCTTCTTTCTTGTTTAGTGTGATTGCATGTTCACACTATGTAAGTTTGATGGAGGGGAGTCCATGACTGTGAAGGCGACTTATGTGGGCAGTCCCCTTCTATCTGTGGGTATCGATGATTATCAAGATAGGTAGCAGCGTCCAGATTATTCTGACAGATTGCTTACTCTGGTTCAGTGAGCGATTCTGCCTTGAGCTGGCCACATGTTCAAGCACTGCCTTGACTAATTAGGATTTGGCATGGTGTGCACCCCTGTGTGGTGTGAAGATGTGTTTATTTTATGATGCGAGCATCTTGCAAGATGGTATCATTTACAGGGAACTCATGCATTTCTCCTAGATCTTCAGGCCTATGCCATGTCATAACCACTTTTTCTTGAGCATTTACATCATCGAGCGAGATGACTACATCAGCGTGGTACAACCACAATTTGATTCCATCTTATACACCCCAAACACTGCATCAAGTGCAAGCCATTTCTCGATATCCAATACACCTATACCCCCTGATGCTTCTGTGGTGTTGCCAGCAGGATGTTGTCGATGCTGGGCATCCTGTGAGATAAGCCTACAGGCTGATAGCCTCCCTAACTCATCAGAGAATCATCTCTGTAGTTTTGCTCATGCTCAGCACCACCTGCCACTTCAGCTTGTAACTTTCTGTGATGCCAAGCATCCGCATCAACACGATCATCCATTCGTTCATGTCTGTCACAATTATTAGTTCATACAAGGTTTCTGTTATGTGATCAGCTCTCACTGAGACTGGCATCCCTCTGTCCATCATAATGTGCCATCTGCAGCTTCAATACAATGTTTGACGAGTCGAATCCTGCATTGTCTGCCAGGATGGTTGTCATCTGCTGCAACACCCTGTTGAATGCCTCTATCATGATAGCCTTCTTT